GATCTCAGTCCGCACTAAAATTATTTTTAGAAAAAAATTACAAATTCAGAAACTACATTAAAAGCTTTACAAAGTCCCCAAACCCTAAATCAAATTTGAAAAAAAAATGATATATAAAATAATAGATTAAGAGTGATTTGTGTTGATCATGTGAATAAGAACTCGTACCATCAATGTCGGTGGTACTGGGAGGTAGAGGACGCGTTGGCAGTGACCTACATATTTTTTAATTTTTTTAGGTATTTTTATTTTATTTTTTGGACTTTTTTAAAAAAATTAAAAAAAAATTATTTATTATTTTTTTATTTTTTATATTATTTTTTCACGTTTTCATTATTATTTTATAAATATTTTATCATTTTTTATATTTTTATTATAAATAAAACTATGATTTTCTTATTAATAAAATAAATCTATTGGAAATGATAGGAAGAGGGTAGAATGGGAAGAAGAGACATATATTCAGGGGCGGAGACAGGGGAGGGCCAACCTTGGCCCTAGCCCAACCCAAATTAAAAAAATGTCTTAATTTTTAGTGTAAAAAAACCCGGGCAATTTTTTTTTCAAAAATTGTCTTTGTATCGATCCAGTCCGGCTCAGTGTCCTGGTTCCACCCCTGCATATATTAGTCCTATTTTGGGAATAAAAGGATTGTACTCTTATTGTTGAATTTTGGGCTTATTTTACTCCTACTAAGGGCTAATACCCGTTTAATAAATAATGTTTTTATATTTGCTTAATTTTTGTCTAATTTGCTTCTAAAGAACAAAAAATCTTTAAAATAGAATTCTTGCCTTTATATAGTTAGAATTATAACATATTATAACTATCATCAAAAATTTATACCACATACGTAGTAATAATTTTCTTACAAAATCGTTACAAATCATCTAACACAATGAAGGATGAACTCAAAGATTATCTAAACAAATAGTATTCTTGACTTTCACACTTACGCGATAATAATTTAGTTTCATTCATATATATTTAGTCACTTTATTTGTTCCACAAACTTTATCTCTGTTTTTGATTTTGATATGTTTCAAAAAAATTGGGGCATAGATTGTTAGATAATATTTGAATATTATTGTTAGTGCTCTAAAATGCGGCAAAAGAAGAGGCTAGATGTGCCTAAACGTGAGGCGGCATGAAACTGCCTCACATAATAGAAAGCCAGTCAACTGAAGAGTTGATCACTAATGGTGTGAAGATGTGTGACTCTATGAGCGAAAAGGCGACAATTTAAAAAACACAATTTTATAAACATGTTATATATACTCGTAGAATCTAATACGGGGTAGTAATTAAAAGGAACAATATAATATTTTCTATTTTCACTTTTTGTACATTTTAAAAGTTATATACTTCAATTCCTCCATTCTTTTTTAATTGCAACAGTCCACTTTTCACGTTTACCAACACACAAGTCTGACAATTAATATCTTTCATTTCATATTAGTAAAACCATAAAAAAATTTAGATTTTGAAAATTTAAAATTAGAGGAATTTAATAATATTTTTTTCAATTTTAATTTACATTACATTAATAAATAAAATAGAGTCAAAGTAGAACATGTGAATAATGCAAAAATTTCAACGATGCATTTAAAAGAGAACATGAGTAGTACTACATATTAAATAAAGTAAAAGTTAGGCTGGTTTTTATGTACTCCCTCCCTCCCAATTTGATGATACCATTACAGTTTACGATGTTTGACTGACGATAAAGCAAACAGATCTCAGTCCGCATTAAAATTATTTTTAGAAAAAAATTACAAATTCAGAAACTACATTAAAAGCTTTACAAAGTCCCCAAAACCTAAATCAAATTTGAAAAAAAAATTGATATATAAAATAATAGATTAAGAGTGATTTGTGTTGATCATGTGAATAAGAACTCGTACCATCAAATTGGAATATTTTTTGACATTTATTTATTGTTCTTCATGTATATATCACCATAAAATACTAATTATCAATAGAAATGTAAATGGTTTTTTCACGTATAGGCTTCACCTATCCCAATAAGGCTTCAAAGACTTGAAGCATCGGTGGGCGTAGTCCAACTGGTAGTGAGGGAGTGCCGCCATAAGGGTTAGGTCCCGAGTTCGAATCCCGACAACTGCGATGAGATGTGACTATGCTGAATGCTAGGACCTCTGCAAGTACCGGGGACAGAACCTCACTCTCTATCTGTCAGATTGGAATTATAGTCCAGTTTACACTCTGACACACCTCACGCAGTGATGCCTTTTAGAACACAAACTATTGTATTTGTTATATTATCAGATAATTATGATTGGCACTCTGTTTGGCATTATATTTATAAATTAATCAATCCTCATAACTATTACGTAGTTTGTATAGTCACTGGTTCTCACGGGTTCTCATTTTAAGAGGGGTTCTCATGAATTAATCAACCCTCATATAGGGGAGGGTTCTAGTGAGAACCCCTCTTACAATAAGAACCCGTGAGAACCCCTCAACCCTCAACCCTCAATCCTGATGTGGCCCAAACCATAAACCCTCACGTCCTTCTGCCTGCTAACTTGTCGAAGCCTCTCCCGCTTAAATGCCAAAACAACAAGACCGAGTAGCAGAACTCTACGCAGGCACACAACAACTCCACCAAGCTAACAATTGAACAAATGATAGCTGAAGCAACAGGCCAAGACGCCAAGTGAACAGGCTGAAGTAGCAGCCGGAGGCCGGAGCAGACCATTCGGTTCTTCATCTTTTTGCAGACTTGCAGCCCCACAGGTAAGCCGTAAATGTCGTTGTTATTTGTTGATTTTAATTGTTAATATATTAAGTGTTGATTTTTGATAGTATTTGTAAATTTGCATTTTACCTTCTTATGTACGCCTACATATAACCCCTCTTTTGCTCCACCTCGTATATCGCCTAAACAAAAAGAAATCCAGTAACCTATTCCGTTTCAGTAACAAGTGACTCTTAGGGACCAAACAAATTCAGGAAGATTTGATTTGCTTGTTCATGGATTGATCAGGACACTTCTAGGAATTTATGCAATACCCCTAAAAAGAACATATTTGTGATGTGATCACATTTCACCTTGTTTTTCAGTGTAAAAATATGGAGTTTCCATAAAACAAAACTCACTCTTATTGTTTTCATCCATGGCAATGATACGATTGAAATTCTTGGAATCAGATGGTCTAATCAGCCTAAGGATAGAAGTTATTTCAATTCCACGCCTTTTAGCTGCAACCCTCATTCTTGAATCTGCTTGCGATTTGTAATGATTGGTAAATGGTAATGTTGTAGGGTTGAAAATTATTTGTTAAAGGTTAATGTTAACTTAGTTATTGTTAATTTTAATTTTTTGTAGTATTTCTAAATTAATAATTTATTAATTGTTAATTCTTATAATCGCTTTAATTGTTGTATTTATAGGTTGTTTGAGAAAGAATCTCTATGTTACGAATGAAGACATTATGAGGCAATTTAAGAGTATGGCGCCTCGAAGACATATATTGCCATCTCTCAATTATTCTCCCACTTCAGTTGCTAATCAAAATTAAGGTACTATTACATTAGTTGTTTTATTTAAATTTTTAGTTTTGTTTGTTGCTATATTCGTGATATATATGATTTCTTTGTTAATGAGTCCCTGCAAGTCACGAGTTCTAGTTCCGCCACTGCTTCCAAACACTAATCACTCGTTCACTCCGAAGCGGCGGTTCAGGAGGGGGACACAAACCACCGCCCATAACACCTAGGGTCCTAGACCCACACCCATGCTTTGAAATTTGATTTTGGAATACTTTCTGAGCATCATCCTCACGAACGATTCAAACTAGAAAAACTAGTCAATAAGCCAACCATCAATGCTAACTTTAAATTCCCACTTCGATCCATGGAAGCCCCTCCAAATCACAACCCAATCATCGAGCAACAAAACAGCGCAAAGCCGTCGGCCGGAAGGAAAAACCTAGACAAGTTAGGCCAGAGCGCTATAAAAAAAGGTACTACGAAATCGTGAAAGAAGAGTGGTAGACGACTGTGTCTTCTGCCTAAAAATAAAGGAAGTTAACTAATTGCGTCGATCAAAACTTCTAGGTCAGGAATTAGAACATAAATGACGTTTTGACTACTTTTAGTGTTTTAATAAGTGAAAACGTTGGTGGGCAAATAGTTTATCATATTAAACTATGTGCTGAGCACATGTACTGATAGTGCTGGATTGAAGAAGAAAATTGAATTGATGGAATGAATACTCAATTTTCATATGAATTGATTAAGCATTATTTATTGACAAAGTATGATTGGGACACTTTAGAGAAGCTTTGTGTGAGAAATTTATTACGAAGTAGCATTGACCAGCAGAGCTAACAACATTTTTGGGATGAAGTAATTTGAGTTTGCACCCCATTTTATTATTCAAATTGGACTTTGCATCCTATTTTTAAAAATCTTTATTTTTGCACGCTAACCCCGTATGAAAAGACAAAAATTTTCCTCCATTAACAATTTTGTTGGCCTTTAACATATTTCTGATCGAGGTCATTTTTATCTTTTTAATATGGGGTTGAGTGCAAAAACAATTTTTTTAAAAAACGGGGGGGGGGGGGGGGGGGGGGTGGGTGGGGGGCAAAGTTGAATATAGATAACAAAATGGAATGCAAACTCAAATTAACCCTTTTAAAGGTTAAGCATAACAAAAAGTTAGAAAGGATAACAAGAAAGAGACATTTGAACTGAATGGTCAAAAATACCCTTGTTATACTCCCTCCGTTCTTAAATATGAGTCCTCCGTTCTTGGGCTTTGGCACGGGTCTTAAGAGGGAAATAATAGGGGTACCGTAAAAGGTGTAGTAGTTGTGGGTAAATGAAAAAGTAGGAAAGAGAAGGGTAATGGTAATAAAAATGAGGTATAAAAGTATTTTGATTCAAAAAACTTACTAAAAAGGGAAAGAAACAAATAATTAAAATTCTCTCAAAAAGAAATACAACACAGTTAATAAAGAGAGGGAGTATAAAATTAAAAAGAAAACAATCCCCCCCCCCTTCTTCGATCGCTGCCTGCTACCGTTCCATCTCTTTCACCGCCCGTGTCCGTGCCGCCATTTCAGCTCCGCCGCCGTCCCCACGCCGTCCCCACGCCGTCGGCATCTCACGGCGACTGATCTTCTCCGCACCGCCATCTCCACTCAATCGATACCTCACCGCGACCGCTCGTCGCCGTGCCTCCATCCCATTGAGGTAGGTTTGGGTGTCTGGGATTTAACCGTTTATTGGAAGCAGGTCACTGTCACTGGAGCTATAATTGTAATATTAATCACTTTAGTATTATATTTGTCAAAAGTGAAAAAATATTCTTAGGATTTTCAAGTTTGTTTTTAGATTACCAAGTATTGATATATGCATTTTAAATTGGTCAACAGTGGAAGCGGATTGTTCTGAGTTGAACCATGAGCGTTCAGATCCATGAAGCGAATTCCTCCTTGAAACTGATCTTCTTTGGCGGGAAAACTCTCAACTCACCACTTCACCTCCTTAACAAAAACATGAACTTTCCAACCATGGGTACATGTTGTTCATTTTGTCGAATTGTAGAAGCTAACTTCCCTTCAACTTTTTTACTCCCTCTGTAGGTAAAAGATTACTACATTAGGCTTTAGCACAATATTTGAGGAAATCTTAGTCTCGCAAAGGTAATGAATAGTGTAGAAAAAGTAGAATAAAAGTTGGAAAATTATTAAAAAGTAGGAATAATTGAGTAATTTTAAAGGAAAAATTAAAAAAATTACCAAAAATGGGAGTTTCTCAAACTTTTAAATAAATCCTAAATTGGAAAGTGTACCAAAATACAGAGGGAGTATTATGAATTCAATGCTAATGGTTGGTTTCTGCTCTGTAGGTCACCGTAATCTAAAGATAAAGTGCAGTGTTCGCTTTCGCCCTTGTATTGATATACACAAGGTTTGATTCCTGCGTATTCTTAAATTCTTCGATTCAAGGGTGTTCGTGAATTCAGATTTCTGACTTCAAAACGAAACGTTGTAGGAGAAATTTAAGTTCCTTTCCCCCTAGACCAAAAAACTAAAGTTACCCATGTTTGATTGATTGGGAGGATTCAATTCCCATGAAATTTGAACCATGTAAAATGGTTAATTAAAATTCTTTTACCCTTCCAAGTATTTACAAATTTAAACAGTTTGGAAATATTTATATATGATGTCTGGAGACATTTTACCCCTTGCAAGTTGCATTATTGACTCATCTGTCTCTCTTTCTCACCCACATTGTCATTTGTCACATATATATCATAACAAAACCTGATTATATTTCTGCAATTTTTAGCATTATACTTATATTGTCCTTTTTATCTTGTCCTTTTTATCTTACATTATCTTTTTATCTCCCTTATCTTTCTTTTCTGTTTGGCTCCAATATCATACAAGTATATAGATTCATGTTAGCTGATCCCAAAATCTTTTGGGACTAAGACTTGGATGTTGTTGTTATTGTTATGTTGTTGTTAGCTTGTTGCCATACACGAGAACATTAAAAATTTTGAAATGAGAAGTTTATAAGTATTTTGATGTCTCAAAGAAACGTATATTAGGGCTCGCGTCGATAAAATTTGATGATCACTTGTATAAAGTAGTAACGTACCCTTTCAAGTTTTATGACTTTTATCCAATAAAAATACCTAATTTATAATAGTATTTTATTATAGATAACTATGTAATTTATTTTGGAGGGTCTTTGAGTCAGTATAGAGGTTATTCAATAAGAAAGTGCTTAAAATAGGAGTAAAAGATGAATAAAGTTAAAAACAAATAGGACTAATTATGTTTTATTCCCATAATAAGATTTATTTAGTCCAATTAAAAGAAGAAAACAATATAAACATACCAAAGTAGGAGTGAATGAGTCTTATTTTCGTAAGAAAATAATGGTTCTATTTGAGAAATTATGCTATGTTTTACTCATATTGACAGAATTTTCTCTTATTCAAGCTGAATGTCATAGAATCATAGCTAACCAAACACGATATTCCTAATGCTTTTGTTCTACTAACCAAAAACTGCCATTTGAATTCTTGCTTGATTCCTTTTTAATTACTGTTCCATAGATTTAAACTGTTTTTTTTTACTCAATGGCCAAAACTGTTTCAGGGAAAAGTAAAGCAGATTGTTGGATCCACTCTTCAAGACACGAAGGACGAAAATGCAAGTCTTGTAACCAATTTCATATCTGATAAGTTGGCTGCAGAATATGCTAAGATTTATAAAGATGATGGGCTCACAGGAGGTCATGTAATCATGCTTGGAGCTGACCCGCTGAGCCAATCAGCAGCAATTGAAGCCATATGTGCTTATCCTGGTATGCCACTGGCTATTTCTCTCTCTCTGATGATGATGTGTTCCCATGCAATTAATTACATGATGTCCTCATAATTATTTCAATATTTCTATTATTTTCGTTCTTTGCTCTTTTACGCTTGGCTAGATAGTGTTGTACTTGGGTTTGGATTATTTCTTGCTTATTGATACTTGATTGGGGATATATGCATTAGGTGGCTTGCAAGTTGGAGGCGGTATCGATTCAAACAATGCAGCCAGTTACATAGAAGTCGGAGCAAGCCATGTCATCGTTACCTCTGTAAGTTTTCTTTCAGTTGTCCTTTTTTCTTTTGAATAACCTAAAATTCTAGTTCAACATTAAACTTCTCAAATCCTGAGGATTGTGAAATTGTAATTTGTCCATGCCTCTAGCTGAAGTTAGACCAGACTAAGAACTTTGGTGCATATTTTAGAGTTTGTGGTGGAGGAATATTGTATTATTAAGGACTTTAAGATTAGTATAAATTGCTTAATGTTAAGACCACAATTGGTAAGAATTAATTTGAAGTTGAATATTTCTGGATGGTTGACATAGGGTCTGTATTTGGGTTGGAAAACAACATCCTTATTAAAGCCTTACTTCAGGAACACTTGCATTGCAGTATGTATTCAAGAATGGGAAAATGGACACTGACAGACTAAAGAAGCTTTCTCAAGTTGTTGGAAAGCAGAGACTTGTTTTAGATCTCAGTTGCCGGAAGAAGGTATAATGATTTTCTTTTGTAACTTTTTTTTGTAAAACTTTTCATATGGGGTAAGAAGTCTTCTTGGTGACCGGTTCTTTCAGAACCCTTGGAGGCTTTTCCTGAACTTTTACTTTCTTTCCTGTTTTTTAAATAAATTCACTTCATTGTTTTAGTGCTTCTTTACTCCGTATCAGCTTCAAACTGATGAATGAAACAATGATACACAGGAGGGTAAGTATGTAATTGTCACAGATAGATGGCAGAAGTTTAGTGATGTACATCTAAATCAGGAAGTTCTGAATTTTCTTGCCCAGTATGCGGATGAATTTTTAGTCCATGGAGTTGACGTTGAAGGAAAGAAGTAAGTCTTTAGAAGATTTCATTGATATGTAGTTAGCAACAAGACTTGACATTACTATTTTGTCAGATGACTCAGATTACATTGATGTATATAGTAATTTTAGTTGCAACCACTATTTCCTTAACTAATTGATGGAGGTAAAACTCTAGAGGACCAACACTACTCAAATATTTGCATGGATGAAAACCAATTTTAACAACGTTCTATCATACATCGAAGTAAGGAACAACTTAATATTTCAGTGAAGTATTTTCCATCAAACATTTTTCATAAAGAAACGTTTAAACACAGGAAACATGTTTCAGTGTGTTTTACATCAATCAAACAGAGCATTGACTCTTGCATGTCCTTTTGATACTCCGTTGTGCTGCATGAGTTTTTAGGCTGGGAATAGATGAAGAGCTAGTGGCACTGCTTGGCAAGTATTCCCCTGTGAGTGCCTCACCCACACACAACTCCCCCCAAACATATTTATGTGTGTATGTATATATGTGTCATTGTACTGTATCCAAACATTTTCCATTCTATGAATTGTTATTTAGATTCCAGTCACATATGCTGGCGGCGTAACTGAAATAGCGGATTTGGAGCGGATAAAGATAGCGGGGATGGATCGTGTGGATGTTACAGTGGGAAGTGCTTTAGACATATTTGGTGGAAACATGGCATACCAAGATGTTGTGGCTTGGCACAGACAGCAGGATCATTTAGCAGCTTAACGGCTGGGGAGGGGGGTTGGCCCACCTTAGGTCTAATCTACACCTTATATACCTATTTTGATATTATGTGAACAGTTGTAAAAAAATTAGGCTCTTATTTTCTCTGTTTCTTATTTTTTCAATACATGAGGCTCACCATGGTTCATCCAAATTTTGTGTTGGAAGAACCAAGCTGTGTTCGTATGACTTTTGAGCTCTATCTATTGCACAATTGCACTATCAGTTTGAAGTGAGTAGGGTAACTTGAATTTGTCTGTTTTTTATGATGCTTGATGTCGTTGTATAAATGTATAATGGATGAAGTGATGAACTATCAAATCCTGTTACAACGAATGGATAAGTAAAAGCATGTATGAGTAGCATTGGATAACCAAAGCATCAATTAACCGATCAAAGATGGCTTCCATAACCAAAATCTTAGTTACATGACCATGTCCATTCTTACTTACATCCTTAACTCTCTTATATTCAAATATCTTATGCTTGGTATGGTTGGTCGGAGTGATGCTCTTATATTCAGAAGTGTGAAGTATTTGATTAGTTAAGGTTTTGATGTGTGATCGAGAGGTCACGAGTTCAAGTCTTGGGAGCGGCCTCTTGTAAAAAAATTGACAGAATAAGGCTTGACTATGTACGCCCTTGTGGTGAGACCCTTCTCCGGATTCTCTCCCTGCGAGGATGCTTTCATGCAATGAGATGCCCTTTATTACAATTACATATGGAGTATGTTTGTTGTTTATTCTTTTTAACACAATATGGATATTTTTGTGGAGTACTAGTTTTTTTCTCAGATTAGCTACGTTTTCCTTTCCTTTTTTTATTGGCTTCTAAAATCTCTGCTGCCCAAGTAGTGCCCAACCTGTAATGTGCTGCTACGTTACGTTTGTTGTCTGGTATAAGGTTTATCTACTGTGACACTATATATGAGTCCTGCTCTTAAATATCATCATTCTTTCTTTCCCTCTTCCATCTGAGTCTCTGACTGGTTTATCAAATATTTGGACGATATTATTACCATCATTTGACTTGGCAATATGATGAAATAAAGCAAAATGACTCACGAAACTGTCTCAATTTCTTTTTTATGAAGCAAAGATCAGTTCATCCGACTTTCGACGCTATTTTCACTACGGGTCATCTGGAAACCGTTTCTTTGTGCTTTAGTATAGGGGGGTAAGGTTTATACACCCGATCCCTCTTTACTCCACCGCAAGTGCGAGCCTTTGCGACATTGGTGTAATGATGATGATTGTTGTCTTTTTGAATGGATCGCTGGATAAAGAAGTCTTTATGTATTAAATGTGTGGTTACTGTAATCATTCAGTACTGTCCGAGTATGTCTTTCATATAAAGGCTCTATATAGTCTGAAGTAGGCTCATTTGGGTCGGAATTTAGTGTTGTCTCCATTTACATTGCAATACAGTTTTTTGAAAATCCATGGCTGATTGAATTTGTCTTCATTTACTTATCCTCCATGGATTTATTCTGTGTTTTGTCTTCGCTAAGAAATAGTTTCAACAAATGTATGAGATTTTGTTGCTCAACTCGCTGATAAAGTTTCTACAAAGAATTAGGGCCTCGTTTAGTACATCCTTGAGGATTTTGGTTAATTCTTTCTGCTGCTAGTACATTTTTGTCCCCACGATAGTATTTAATGAATATTTGCCTAAGAAACTAAGATGAAAATTTACAGAGCAAACCGAGTGAGCCGGCAGAGCTCTTGGCAGTTGGCACCTTGGCCTGGTCTCTGGCGACATTATCTCTCGACACCACCTCTTGTCGTCTGTCGACTAGTTCTGTGTATAACTTGTCTCTCATTGCGCTTATGTACTAGTATAAGTTATTGAGAATTAACCATAAACAATTGTTATTGAGAATTAACCATAAACAATTGAACTGATAATTCAAATAGCCAAAACTTTATATGCTGGTTTGTATCTATATATTTGGTAGCTAGTTTTGTAGACTATGGAGGACTTGTATTGTGTACTTATTCAGCCTTAAACATATTGCATGTGCATAGTGCACCCATCTAGTATAGGGTAAGCTACTTATTCTTCTTATAATTAGGTTTTATATTGGATAATATGAACCATAATCAAAATGTTGACTATATAATTTCTTTTTCACATATACTTAGATTTTATATGATAGAAAGATGTAAGTAAAAAAAATCAAAATGACAGAGCATTTTACTAAAAGTGATTGCTTGAGTTTAACCTGTTCATACATTCATTCCACATTTTTATTTTCTCCATGTCATTTACTCCTATCATTTTCCAAGTTTCGAACGAATCACGATGGGTATGCACTGTAAAATATAATTTGAATTCCATGAAAAGGAATAAGCTAGCTTAAGCCTTTCAATTCCATTGTTTGCAAGGTTAATTACAATGGAATGACTACGAGTATTAACTACTCTGGGTGTGTTGTTTTGTAAAGGTTCAGAAAATCGTTTCAAACTGGAGAATCGTGAGGCTTAAGAATCGATTTTTATGCAGCCTGGTACAAAAAAATTAATACGCACTGCAAAATCAGTTCCTGAGTTCCAAACAGGCCATTAATAGAAATGTTATAAAGGAAAATAAGAAATTAAAATGACTCGCATTGATAAACCTTTTGCTCTCTTGGTTTCTTCCATTTCCAATGCCCATCTATACATCTCAGTACTTTGGATCAAACATCCAAGCTGATTCAAATGAAAAATGGGATAATAATTGTGACAGAGAAACTGGATAGTCTCTATGACTGTCACAACAAAAAACAAAGCAAAAAAAGAGTAGCAAATTTTGCTCAATGAATCTGGAGTCCAGACCAGAAAAGATATATATGTACACTCTTTTCAGAGAAAGAAAAAAAGCTCTGATCTTTAGCTTGCATTTCAGATCAAGATCGATCTAAGCTTCAATAACACTTCTTGGAGACGATCTTACCTTGAAAAAATGCTCCTCTCCGGTGCACTTATCAACCTTCACAATCCAGTTCCCTCTTTTTTGCACCCCATCATTAACAATCTTCTTCACAGGAATTCTTGTCATCAACAACCCTTCACCAATAGGCAAAAGATTAATGCGTAAACTGGTGCCGCTCCTCCACGATGGCTTCCCGAAGGCGTTATACCCTAAAACCACCGTGTTCCTCACCCTCTCACTCCCTTCCACGCTTCTGAATATCTCCTCATGGTGCTCAAGGTTGCAGTCAACGGCAATGAAGTCAGCTTCTCTGTACTTGTTCAGTATCAGTTCCTGAGCCTCCCCGACGACGAACTCAACATGCATTCCGTTTGAGGACGAGAGTAGAGAGAGATTAGACCGGGAGTAATTTTCCGGGAGGATGCAGATGACGCGGCCTCTGGTTTGCTGCGAGGCCGCGGCCAGAGCGAGGGTGATAGAGTCAACGGGGCCAGCGCAGGCCACGACGGTGAACCGGGCATTGTTTCCGGCAGCTAAAGCGGAGACGAACTCCGCCCCGTTCAGCTCCTTCACGTCCTCCCCTTTGGCCATATTCATTGTTCTGATATATGCCTTTGTGGCATTCTCTGCAGACCAGAAACCCATCTTGGTGGTTGCCATAACAATACAATGATGTTTTATGTTCTTTCTTTTGTGTTTTTTTTCCTTCTCTCAGGCTTTCTTTGGAAAGATGATTGCTTTGAGAGTGAGTGTCTGAATGAGGTCTGGAAATGGGGTTTTATAGGGTACAAAGATTAGGGTATGAATTCAGACAGAATCCAACTGGATTAGGTAAGACCTAGTTGCAGATGGGAATAATTTCTTCTCAAAGAAATGAAAAGGAACATTATGAACGTGATATGTTTTTACCATGTTGGACGTACATATATACTGTCTAAGTGTCTTGTTATACAACTTGCAGATATTTGAGTGAGTATAAATATGAAAATGTTTCAGTTAATTTCAGTTTTAAAATGATGAGTCCAGCTTTTGCCTTTAGATGCCTTTTCCTTCCTGTTTAGATCTGGAATGGGCCACTTGTCTGTGGAGAAAAACATGTTCTCAGTACCTATGAGCTGTAATGCTGTCTTTGGGAGGGACATCTGACACTTTTATTTCCTAGCAATGTATTAAATTATGGGGTTTTGGTTGTTCAAACTAACCTAATGTGATTAGGAGAAAAACTGGCACAGCCCACGTTTTTGAATTACTAATCATCTACAGAAGATTCTAAAACTTCAGTCATTAGAGAAAAATTAAAGAAACATGCATGTGTAGTTACTGTTAGGAAGTTTGACCATTTCGTGATTAATTATGTCAGCATAGAATACCTTGGTCTTATAATTATGTTCATCTTTTTTTATTTCAGATGATAACTCTCTTTTGCTAATATTTAAATTACCAATTAGAGTTAGTATTAAGAGATTATATATAATAAAATTGATATTTTTTTGCAAAAAGAGAACTCAAACAAGATAAATTTTACATCAAATTGGAGAATTTTCTTGGCATAGAATTTTCTGGTCTGATCTGTTTAAGTCTAATTTGGTCTTGTCTAAATTGGTCTACTCTAGAAGATGTATGATCTATGTGTATTGTATAACTGTTGAAGTCTGGAATAGTCTAGTTTGATCTGTCTGGTTTGATTTGGTCTAGTTTTGTTTGGAACTAAAATAAGTTCAAGTAAAAATTGTTTTTTAAAGGAAAAAACTTACTATCAAACGATAACAAGATAATAACACCCATGTCCTAAGACATAATTCTCCCTCTACCCAAACAAAACCAAAAGCTCATTGGCCCCTCACGTCATGCTCGAGCATATAATAGTACACTCCACGAAAAACGAGACTAATTGCTGAAATGGTGAGAGTAAAGAGACTATTAGCGACTGTATCAGCCTGATTGCCTTCATCAAGAAAACCCCCTATCAAAAACCACCAACCCTCAAAACCTACTCCCTTAGTGTATGCAAGAATAAAAAACAACAATAAACAGAATCCTGATTAAGAATTAAAAAACACATAAAATAAAAGCTCAGGCGGTGGTATTTGCATGTTTCCATCCCTCCTGGTTCCTCTCTCCCATCCTTCATTTGCATGACAGGCGGGCATTGTAGCCCATCTCCTTCCCTTTTTTTGATGTTCCCATCTCCACTTCCATGTCCTTGTGCAAAGGCTCTTCTTCCCCATGCTCAACTCGCTGGTGTTTTTGTTCAATCTTATCTCCCACGTAAGCATTCTCCTTCCCTTGTTGTAGTCCTCTCTGCTCACCCAAATTTGCCATCCCCACCCTCACCTTCTTTCTCTTTCCCTTTACGAACTAGGACCAGTCATTTATTCCCCCCACTGTCACGTGTCCCATGGGGGCTCGCAATTCCGGACCAAAAAGTACCCCTCTACTCCTGCTTGTGCCATTAGGATAGCGCGGACAATACTTTTCTGCATGATCAATAATGCCGCAAGCAAAATATAAACAAGGTAGTTTTTTATATCAATATTAACCCTTATCCTCATATAAGGGTTTCATTTGACAGATTTTTTTCGTCCACTTTAATAAATTTCCACACAAAGTTCCCAATTTTTATGGCATTTTTCACAGAAAAAAATCCCACTGACACATCATGAACCTGTAGCCAAAAATCAGCTTTATTCAGAGGTTCCGCCAGAGGCAAGTCTCCTTGCCTTAGCTTATCAAGAACGATAAGGTTCTGGTCAAAAGTTCATGGTCTTTCCTCTAACAGGTTTCCACACATTTACCATAATATCATGAAAAAAATGAGAAGCTTACCGATTTTTCAAAAGTAATTATCCCTACCTGCACGGACCAACCCACCTCTTCAATCCCCGGAGCCGTGGCCTCCACATGCAGAAATTTGTCTCCTTTCTCCATCTCCATTCTACTATACACATTTGCCAGTCGCTCAATCTCTCCCTGTTCGTTTACATCTGCCATCGTCTTACTTCTTGCTTGTTCCCCTTAGTTCGCCAATACACCAACAGTCCAAGAAACGTCCCCCCTGCTTACTCCGAAGAATCGCCCCTTTATTCTGTGCCAAGCACCCTACAATCTTGTTGAGATTGTTTGTGACCGTCGCCCTTCCCCACTCGGCGCTCCTCCCTCGGCCGTGTTCAAAACATCAAGCGATTGGGTATCGCCAACCCCAAAATACCGCAGACTAGAACCCTAGTAGCGCACGTAAAAGTGATTTTTAAGTAAAAAATGTTATTTTGTTAATAATTACTCCCTCCGTCCCGGTCATTTCTTCTGGTTTTGACCGGTATCACAAATTTAGGTAGTGAGAATAAAGTGAAAATGTATGGTTGTAGTTGTGTAAGAAAAAGGTGAATGAATGTGAACCACATATTTTTTCCAAAAGTGGAAGTTGAAAGAATTAATTGGGACGGTCCAAAAAGGAAAATTGGAAGAAATGAGCGGGACGGAGGGAGTATAAGGTGACCATGTGGTGGGAAATTAAATAAAATTAAACTAAGTAATAATAATACTATAGTTTTTTTTTATCGTCAAAACAAACCGGTTATATTAATATCATTAGAAATCGGATCGTTACAACATACTCAAAAAGACCATCCCTAACTAGCGTTATCAACCCTACAACTAGACTCAGAGATGATCACCCTTGAAAGAGCAATATGAATCGCTAACCACCAAGCGGGTGTGACACAACAGGCAATATAAATCCTTCTAACGACATAATATCTAACAAAATTTCATAATTGTAGACAAAAAACTAAACAACATAAAACATAACGCGAAAATAAAACCATAAAAAATTAAATAACTGATAAATCTTCCAAACCCTAGCACCTTGATCACTCCAAAGCAGCGGTTCAGGAGGGGGGCGAACCACCGATCTGTCTTCTCCCTTGCTCATCCCTTCACCTCTACTCGTCTTTTCATAGCCCATTCCGCCTCCACTACCACCACCGCCCTCTACCATGTTGATTCGCCAGAAACTAACCCTTTGACCTCCTCCTCAATTGCAAGAATGAGACAACATTGCTCTAGATCATCCATAGAAGACATGATTATAATTTCTTGAACCTTGGATTCATTTCCAAAAGCTGCAGCCGCATTCACGCTTCCTTAAAAAGCACTCTAGAAACCTAAAGAAGAAGAACCGCACAAAAATTGGTGGAAGGAAACCCTACGCGATGGCAAAGTCGCTAGGGAGACAAAACCCTACGCGACGCTAAGCTGCTAGGGAGAAAATTGACGGGCTGCTAATACTATAGATTAATACAGAGTATTATACAGGCTTGAAGTTCATTTCAAAAAAAATAACTAGGAATTGTGTTGTGGATGGTCTCATCTATACTCCTAGATCACATGGATTTAATTAAACATAAAGTGATGAGGAGATAAACCTATATACCAAAAAGATCACTTCATTGTTTTTCAAAGTTGCTTCTTTCAAGAAACCAGCTAACTAATCACATGGAGTTGATTATAACAAAACTGTTAGATTAGGAGGTAAACCTAACCAAAATAACTTTAATGCGTTTCAAAATTGTTTTTATCTCAAAAACCAGATAACTAATCATGTGAAGTTAATTAAAACAGGAGGAGAAACCCTAACAAAGATGACTTTAGTGTCCTTCAAAATCACGTGGTGTACTTTAATTAAAACAGAATGTAATTAGGAGATAATTAAACCTAACAAAATGATCTAAATGTTTCATACAGAAACATTGTGAAATTATGAAATGGGAGTACTACGTTGTTTCCCCTAAATATGAGTAAATTGGTGCATAAAGCCACATTGTCATATTTTTGCATTTGTACGTACACATTAATATAATGTGACAATATTAATGTCGAAATTTGCTAAGCATGATACTCCCTCCGTCCCTAAATGTTTGTAACACTTTGACTTCACAAGTTTTAAGGATATGAATTTGACTTTACACTGTAGCGACACTGTTTCACACTGTAGCGACACTGTTTGACACTGTTTTGCACTGTTTGACACTGTTTGGTATATATTTGTTTACCAAATAGGAAAGTTTAAAAGGTATGACAAACATTTTGGAACATCCGTTTCGGGAAAGTGTGACAAACATTTAGGGACGGAGGGAGTATATGTTCATCATATTTAGGTAATTTCATATACTAATACACTAGTACAGTAGTATAGGAATATAATTAATTTCACATTTTTTGAGGATTTTTGCTCTTAAAAGTGGTTGTTTGGGAAGACTAAAAATGGTCGATCAAGTAAACTCAGATGCTATTTGTAATTTGGGGTTCATCATCGAAAAACTTCTAATAAATGAGTAACCAACGTAACTATGAAACATAGAAACTCTAAGTACCTAGTTGTATTAGAAGTTTTTCGACAATAAACTTTTTCAATGATGAAACTCTCCAAACACTTAGAGCCCATTTCGTGACACTGGATTCAACTGAATCGACTGATTTTGCTAAAATTTATGAAGTTTTGGTTGAAGTGTCTGTATTGTCTGATTTCGCTGATTTATGAAATAAATTAAAATATATTTTATCAATAAAATAAAGAAAAAGTTATATGAAAAATAGCTAAAATGATCATCTAGATTAACTTCAGCCAATACATCCAGAAAAATAACTAGCTTCAACCTTACTTTTTCTTATTATTAAACAATTCAATGCGCGAAATCAAAAGTTACATGCAATGTTTGGTTAAAAAGTTGGCTGGTAAGTCTGATAAGATGA